TCAGGGGTCTGCTGCTCGACAGCACCCCAAAGCTCACGGTGTTGCACCCTGTGTCACAATACAGTACAACAGGTGCTCTGGGAGGAAGGGTGCCTGGGACTCACTCCAGAAAGAAAGTTATTGAGCACCTATGATGCGCAGGCACCATGCTGGGTGTTGGGACGCTGAGGGAACAAAACCACCATGCTGTCCCTGTGCTCCCAGAGCTTCGCAGGGAGGCAGACACAAACAAGCAAACACCAGCAATAAATAATTACAAATTGGGCTAAGTGCTGTGCAGACAGGAAAGTGCAATTAGCCTGTGCTTACCTCTCTCTGGCCCCAGAGGCCTGCCCACATTACGGAACAGCCACACCTGCCGGACCTCCGGCATGCTTCCTGGCCAAGGCCCTTGGATCACACCGGAATCCAAGCACCTGCACGGCAAGGGGTTGACAACAGTTTGCAGAACATTTGTTGAACCAAACTGGAAATATTTTTTAAAAAACCAATGATCATCCAGTGCAACCTAATTTTACAGGCCCTGGAGGCCGAGAGAGGCCGAGTGTTTGGCCCCAAACCACACAGCTGGTGAGTGGTGGAGCCCTAGTCCAGAATCTGGGTCTCCGAACTCCAGGTCCAGAGCTTCCGCCCCCAACCTGTGCTGCCACTGGGTGATCCTGAACCAGTTCACAGCCCCCAGGAATCCGCAGCCTCCTGGCCCATCTCAGACGCCCTCTTTGCAGATCAGCACCGTCCCGTAGAATTGTAGGTGCCGATGGAAAGGTCTGTATCGGCCCTGTTCAACAAACACGTGACACTACTTAGCGCGCACAGGGAAATGTGGCCAGCGTGGTGGGGTGGGGACGGGCAGGGCTGTGGAGAGAAAGAGGACGTGGCAGAGACGCAACGCGACGCGGCAAGGAAGAAAGGCAGCAGGGACAGAGGATCGGGTTTGGTGTTCCCAGGACTCTTCCATCCCCACAGCCCAGGAGCCACCGAAGGACTTCATGCATGGTAGTGATCACAGCCTCCATGGGCCCCCGAGGAAGTCACTGCTCCCCTGAGCTCTGCAGCACCTCCAACACTCCGGTAATACCTGCTCTTGTCATTCCCTGTCCCCATCCCACACAAACAGTTTCTCACCTGCACAGCTCGTGATGCTGCCAGCCTGAAACACCCTTCCCTCCCCTGCCTAGACAGCTCTTCCTCTTCCTTCAGGCCTTAGCTCACTGTCTCCTTCTGACACCCTGTCAGTCAGCCTCCTCCGTGTCTCCACAGCCTGCCTGGCATGCGGAGGAGGCTTAATTTCCCCATCCCCGCTGTTAGTTCCCCTTCTCGGCCCTTGTCCTTCCCAAATCTCTACTTAGCTCCCCATCCCCCAGCTCTGGAACCCTCAGAAACTCTTATCACACAGCCACAGGTTGCTTAAAAGCCCTCAGACCCTGGCCTAAGCCATCCCATTCCCAGGACTTGGCCCCTAGGCAGGGCCTCCCTCCTGCAGGACTGGCCTGCTCAAAGGGAAGAGCCAGAGAAAGGAGGCCAGAAGTTTCCAGCTTCGTCAGCGAGAGGACAGTGACCCAGGTAATGACCACAGGTGTGGACGTGCGTTTAGGGGAGAGGATGAGAAACAGCCAGGAACCTGAGCAGGCGCATCTGGGAAGGCTCCTGGCAGAGTGTCCCTCCTTCCCGTCATGCCCTGGAGTTAGGCTAACTCTCCCCTGCAGGTTCCAGACCCTTTGCTGGCTCCCTTGCCCAGAGAGTCCCTGTCTGTCTCCCCAAGAGCCACATCCTGGCCAGGGCCTGAGCCAGGCTGGGATGTGCCCACTGGAACATTCATCCAGCAACTATGTGTGGCTATCCTGCTTGCTGTCACCCCTCCACAGCCAGGCCTCAGCCAAATGGGGAGCAGTGCAAAGAGGAGGTGCTGAAACTGTGACACAGAGATGCCATTCGCATAAGGACATCCAGCCAGGCTGCAGGGGTGTGAACCCAGATGCCTTTCCTCCCCCAGGGCAGAGAGACGGAGGAGCCCCAAGCCAGGACTCCGAGTGGGCAGGAGACCGAGAGGGACCGCAGATGGGAAAACAGGAGGGAGGTGGCACAACATAGACACAGAAAGAAGAGGTGCATGAGAATAAAAGGGAAGCAGGCCAGGCGCAGTGGCTCACACCTGTAATCCTAGCGCTCTGGGAGGCCAAGGCGGGAGGTTCACATGAGCTCAGGAGTTTAAGACCAGCCTGAGCAAGAGTGAGACCAGCCAGGAGAGGCCTCCAGAATCCCAGAGACACACACGATACCATTTCCAGCTAGGGTCACCCAAGCTTGTCCCCCATGGAAGCACCAAGCAGGTTTGTTTGTTAGTGTATCCAGGAGGCATATGGAGACTTCCCAGGTCCCTAAACATCCCCAGAGAGACTGACAATCTCCCCTACTCTCCATCTCCCATCTCCTGACCCCTGCCAGGCTTCCTGCTTCCCTGGCAGAGGGGGTTTGAACCCCTGGGTGATTCAGTGGTCCAGGCTCTGTACCAAGGCCGGCATAGGGCTGTGTCTGGTCCTCAGGGAGGGTGGAGACTCCCACTGGCTGGCGTAGAGAGCCCCCACTCAGAGACAGCTGCCTTGCCCAGAGGACCCCCGAGGATGACAATTCAGGGTGAAGGGAGGTATGGGTGGGGCTAGGGGAGGGAAGGGGGCAGGGGAAGAGGCAGGGGGTAGGGAGGAGGATGTAGGGCTGAGTGCTTTGGAGTTTTGTTTGTTTTGGGCTTTTTTGCTGCTGTTCCTGTTTGGCAGCCAGAGCAGTGACAATCATAGCCACCTCTACTGACTGCACCCAAGGAAGACTGCTGGGCCAGAGAGCAAGCAGCAGGCGGGCCCCACATCCCTCCCTCCAGGCCAGAGCCCCAGGCCAGCACAGCTTCCTTTCCTCCAGGGAGGTGAGAACACCCCCCGAGGAAACCACCCAGTGATCGGTGCTGTGCTTGGGCCCCAGAGACCAGCCCTGCAAAGCCAGCCTAGGAGCCAGACTCGGCAACTAACTATGACCTGTGAAAACTCTGAGGCCTGAGGAAGTCAGCAAGAAATAGCAGACGTAAGTCTTGCAGAGGCACTTAGAAGAATTAGGCTTCTAGCTTAAAGAGAATTAGGTGGAGGAACTGCCCTGAACTATACCCTGGACAGTAAGAAGACAGCTTCCTTTCCTAACCACTGCCCTTGCTAGGGCCCCAACACTCAGAGACTGAGATCAGAGAAAGAGCTCCTAACTCCAACGGTGCGGGTTCAAATCCATCACTGATCAATTGCGGGACCTTAGATCAGTCGCTTAACCCTCTGAGCCTCCTTCTTTGTAAATCGGGGCGACTAGAATCAAAGCATTCACCCCCAGTGGGGGTTGTCACGAGGATTGTGGAGCTAATCCTCGACGAGCATCTGGCCCACTCCTGATGCGTTGGCTATTCTGGCCTCAGCAGAGCCCAGATGCCACTGCTGCCCCCACCCTCCCCACAGAGCACAAGGGCGATTGGGTAGGGGGCAGGGTGCGTGTCTGACCACATGCCATTCGGATACTAGGCTGGGGTAAGGATGGTGGGAGGCTAAGTGGCCGTGCAAGCAGGTATTGAATGGGGAGTGGCAGTGTGCATCAGAAGTGGGAACAGACACCCAGCAGGGCCTCACCAGCCCACCCCAGCATGGCACCCTGGGGGCCAGGTGCAGGATGGAGCCGCGGCCTCAGAATAGTCCTGTGTCCTCCTGAGCCAGGAGTGCCCCATGTGTAGGAAAGAGGTCTGGACTGGGAGGAGGTGGCCAGGAGGGTGCTGTGACTCCACAGGTGGCCCTCTCCCTCAGGGCTTCTCTCTTCTTCTGGGCCCAGAGGGGACTTAGGTCCCTTCCGTCTCTGGCCATTGAGACCCTCCCAGGCAGGCTCCTCTCTCTGCTCTGGCCCCACCACCCAGGGTGCTATGCCAGGTCCAGGGAGGACACCAGAGTCAGCCACCAGGGCCAAAGTGTCAGGACCATCAGCCCGGGAAGGAAGGAAGAGGCTGGGCCAGGCGAGCTGCAACCCCTGGGGGTGGAGAGTGGGGCCTCAGGAAGGAAGGCAGGGGGAGTGCCCTGGACGGAGGGCAGGCTCTGTGGGGGCAAAATGGTGTTTTTTCTATTTCCGCATCATACTTCATATGAAAGAGGTCCAGGGAGCTAGAGAAGAGAGGGAGGGAGGGTGAGAAGAAGGGTCAGCCAGGGAGGCGGGGTCTCCCAGGGCCCTGGAGGCAGAGCCAACCTCATGCCCAGGCCTCCACCAAGTGCCTCGCACACGCTTCCTCCTGGGACGTGGGTATTTTCATCCCCACTTTACAAACAAGGACAGGCAAAGATCAGGTGTCGTGCCTGCCCGAGGTCATGCCAGGGGTGAGCATTAAACCCAAGCCTCATGCCTCCAAAGCCAAGGGCTCTTGGCCTGACCATTGATTTCCTCCAGCCTCTGAGACAGTGGAGTGTGCGTGGCAGGTGCTCAAGGGGTGATAGCTGGAGCCAAGGAAGGAAGGGGCGGGGTAGGAAGAAGGGGAAGATACTCAGGGAGACAAAGGTGCTGTTTTCCAGTGCCCGGCTGGCACGGTGCCCAGGACAGCTGCCCCACACTCGGGAGCTCAGGGCCTGTGCTTGCCTCATCCTTTCCAGAAGTATGTGAGCCCAGCTACGTCAGCCTTCAGGTATGTAGCGAGGGCTGCCTGCGGTGAGAGGCCTCTCTCTGCTCTCTCCTTCCCTGTTGAATCTACCCTCCTTCACTGACTCCCCCCAGCAGCCAGCCCAGCCTTGGCCCCCTCCCTAGAGCCAGGCCTGCTTGGTTGGGGGCCTGTGACCAGCCCCTCAGCAAGGCAGATCCCCTGGGGGAGGGAGAACCCTGCCTGCTTGTGCTGGGGGAGGGGCCGCAGCACCACATCATCCAACAGGTTGGTCAGGCTGGGAGGCGTCCCGCCCTCCTGCAGCTAATGAGCACTGTACGACAGGTGTCTGCTCCTCAGTCCCCAGCCTGCCCCGGCTGCGACCAGAGCCTGCCACCCATCTCCCATCCAAGGCTCACTCACTCATCCCTGGGCCCTCCTGCTCCCAGGCCGGGGGTCCGAGATGGCCTGCCGCTCCTGTGTCATTGGCTTCAGCAGCCTCAGCGGCTGTGAGGTGACCCCGGCGGGCAGCCCCCGGCCTGGAGCCTCGGGATGGAGCAGCTGCGGGGCCCCCGGACCGAGCTTCAGCTCCCGAAGCCTCACAGGCTGCTGGTCAGCTGGCACCATCCCCAAGGTGACCGTGGACTCCAGCCTGCTGGTGCCCCTGGACCTCAAGGTGGACCCGGCCGTCCAGCAGCAAAAGAACCAGGAGAAGGAGGAGATGAAGGTCCTCAATGATAAATTTGCCTCCCTGATTGGCAAGGTGAGAAGTCGGTGGGGGGTCTTCCAAACTAAGGGCTGCCAGGCCTGGGCAGGTGGCCAAGCTCTGTATTTTCCTAGCAGGGATCATCGTGCCCCACCCCTGCCCACAGCCAATGGGGAGGCCGCATTGCTAACTCTGAGCAGAGGGCTGGGGAGGGAATTCCTGCTCCGTCCTGGCATGGGGGGAGAAAGGGTCCCCGGATGGCCTCTGAGGGATGTATGGACAATAACATGCCACACGGCCTGGGGCCACCAACCCCCACCCCCCCTCCCACCAGGCATGGACTAGGGAGCAGCACCGAGTGTGGCCAAGGGTCTCTGTCATGGCAATGGCTGATGGAGGCATGGCCCTTGGTCCTACTTGAAGCAGATGGACAGTACAGATGACCTCCCAAGGTCCACGCTCCTGTCCATCCCTCAATGACCCTGGAACCCTGCTCAGCTTCCCAGTCAAAAGAACCAGCAGGGCCGAGGGGGCGTGTGGGGCTGCCGGAAGGAGGCTGCGGTGAGAGAGGATGCGGCTCTGGCACGTCAGGAGATAGGAATGCGGGGATGGATGCTCGAGTCAGGTCCAGCAGCCGGCCGGGCCTCCCCGCACCCCACCTGAGTAGGGGCATGAGTCCTCAGCACCCCAACCCCCACACTTCCTCGACTGCCCATGGGCTGCAACTGGTCTAGGGCACTCGTGTCATCTCTATCCCCAGGGCAAGGGAGCTCCCGAGGGAGTCCCGTACACCCCCCCCAAACCTGCTCCTCACCTCCTCTAAGAAGCCCCCCTGCCCTGCCCAAGAATAATCATGACAGTAACAGCTGCTACTTGCTTGCGGTGTGCAGGCACTGTGCTGGGTGCTTTGCAGATTTTTTTCTCTATTTTCCTCAACAACCTTATGGAGATATTTTTATGCCCATTTTACACATGAGGAAAACTCTACTTTCCTGACCCTCCCAGTAAACCACAGGCCCAGCCTCCAGCCCTGGCTCTGTCCTTGTCTGCCCCTTGGTCTCCCTGACTCTGTTCTTCTGCACGTTGCTGGCCTCCCCCATGAGGTGGGAGCTCACCGGCAGGGGCAGAGGAACAAGCACTGAGCACCTGCTTGTGTCTGGCCCTCTGCAGGAACTTTGCAAACGTGATGTAATGTGCCCTCACAGCGCTGTGAGGATGAGGGAACTGAGGACCAGAGAGGTTAAGTGCCTTGCCCAAGGTCACATGACCAGCAAGTGGTGCAGTCTCGATTTGAACTCAGTCTGTGAGACAAAGCCAGTGGTCTCTGAGAAGGAAATCAGTTCTTTCCCTCGCCCATTCATGTGCCTAGACCAGAGTTTCCTTGTCCCCACCTGGGGTGCCCAGGTCAGGGTATCCGGAGGGGATGGGCAATCATCCACAGAGGTGCAGCATCTGTCCCCCAGCCCCAGAGGTTCCTTCAGAGAACAGCCCAGCTGCTCTGGGGAGGCAGGTCCCTGCAGAGCCACCTCCTTACCAACCTGGTTTAATCCCTTAAAAGGAATGTTTCACTGAGCTGTGTAATTTGGCTCCAATGTGTGGCTTTTCTCCCTCCAATGCCAGTGCTAGTATCACCCTGTGCCTCTGCCATACGGATGGATGGTGGGTGGGCACAGGGAGGGGGCCCTGGAGTTGGGGCCCTATGTCCAGGAGCCAGGGCAACACTCTTGAAGGTATTTAACAGAACTGGAGCCTCCCAGCCTTCAAGCCTTGGCCTTGAGCTGGGGTGCCCTTCAGGGTGGGACGCAGGGTGCTGTGGGTGCCAGCCCTTTGGGGATGTGACTTCTGGGGCTCTGCCCCAAGGAATCCCAGCTGACCCACGACTCTACAGAGGAGATCTGGTAGCTCCTTGTGAAGGCTGCTGGGGCCCAGGTAGAAGCAGGCTGTGGGTGAGTGCAAAATCTGGAGCAGCGATACTGGGTTTAAATCCTGGCTCCACCACTGACCAGCTGTGTAACCTCAGGCAGGGTATTTAACCTCTCTGTGCCGCAGTACACATCGGGTTCATGGGCTTGTCAGAATCAAATGGGATAATTTTTGAAAAGTAGTTAGAACATCCCCCACATATGGTAAATACATTATAATTATTTGTCAAATAAAAAATAAAATAAATGGGCCTGGCCCAGGGAGCTCCTAGAACCCAGTTAGCCCCTTCCAGGCAGGAGCCTTGAGAAGAGGGGAGGGGAAAGCCCTGTGGGAGGAGGAGTGAAGGGATCTGGTGGGTGCAGCATGATGTATGGGAGATGTCTGGGTCCAGGGGAAGGCCCAGGGTGAGATACCAGGACCAGTGGGTGGGGGCTCTGGGCAAAGAGAGGAGAGGGCGGGGGCACTTGGCCCCACATCTCCTTCAGAGAGCACCGAGGAGAAGGAAGGGCAGAGAAACTCTCAGGAGTTGGCAGAGAGGCCCTGGAACAGCATTGTTTCTTCCACTTGCTGGCTGTGTTTCCTTGGGCAAACCACTTACCCTCTCTGTGCCTCAGATTCCACTGCTCCACTCTGCTCTGCTTTGCAGTGGCCCTGAGCTCATGCCAGGGGCAGCACTGGTGAGGCCACAGTCACAAGATGAGGGGGATGAGGAGGACCAGCAGCAAGAGAGGCGGAGGGAGGTGGGAGGGCAATGCCTACCTCTGGCAGAGGCTGCTGGCAGGGCCTCTCGCCTTCACATGCTTAGACAACAAAGGGGATGCAGGCGGGACAAGAGGCAGGACTGGCCAAGGGCATCCTGGCAAGGTTGTAGAGAGGAAGCCCAAGCGTAGTGCTGAATTGCCTGGAGATGGAAGGATGGGGACATGTCTTCCCCTGGGCCTATGTGACCAACCCCTGGCAATCACTGAAGTCCTCCCCCTGCCTGTATACAGAAAGCCACAAACCAGGCCTTCCTGACGAAGAGTCGCTGAGGCTCCTTGGGTGAAGCCAACTTCTGGCCGAAGGCAGGGGATCTGACGGCCCCACCTGAGCAATAGGACCTGCAGGCCCCAGAGACACTGTCCTGTAGGCTCAGGACCCGAAATCTCTGAAGTGGTCACCTTGCTCCCCCGAGGAGGCCCCAGACTCCAGCCAGGAGCTCCAGTTTAGCTTGCTTAGTTTCGCCTACAAAAAGCACATCTCAGCCTCTGCCCTGCCCTGGCACCATGGAGCTGGGCCACAGTCTCCACGTCTGTAAAACAGGAAGGCAGATGGAACAAGCGTTTGCTCTGTGAGTCCCCTCCTAGAGCTGCTACGGCATGATCCAAGGGTGGGGGACAGAGAGGAGAAGGAATGAGGGGTGAGGGCTCTGTAGCCTCCATCGGTTAGAGGCAATTAACCTGGCACCTCTCAGGTGCCAGGATTATCGGCTCTCCCTAGGCCTTTGTTCTGAGAGGGAGGAGCCTTTCTGCAGGGAAGGTCCTGGGTGGGAGATGAGTTCACATCCCCACCCATTGAGGCAACAAGAGACTCCTACAAGGGCAGTGGGAGACAGGGGCCTGCCCCTGATCCTCCAAGATCGCAAAGGCCCTCTGGCTGGACTGGCTGGCCAAATGCACACCACGTCCCAGCAGGATAGTGTTGAGGCACTGGAGATTGAGGTTAGACTAAGGGAAGAACTTCCTGGTGTGAAGGTTTTTCAGTTCCTCATGGGTGGAGGAAGGAACCTCACAGCTTTCCCATCACTCCACCCTCAGTGTAAACATGGAGCTCCTGCTCATCAAAAGGGAGAGAAGGCGGGGTGAGCAGACACCCCCCCAGTGCTCCCTCTCACATACACAAAGCAGGGCAGAAACCCTCTTGACCTCCATCCCTACTGAACCTGTTTGGCTGTGAGTACAGTACACAGTAGGCTTAAGGCTGGCTTCAAGCAGAACCTACCAGCACAGATGGGAGTTAAGCAGGGAAATGACAGCCCACAATAGCTGTCGTCAGATGCTGTCATCCAATATTCCTGCTGGAGTCGTCGACTGTGAATGCCAAAGGGGATTTCCTAAGGTCATCAGAGCATCTCAAGCTGGGGAGGTAGGTGGGTCAGAGAGGAGAGCCCCGCCTGACACTCAGGTTCAGGAGGGATGGGGAGCCCATGAGGTCCAGAGCCGGCAGCAGCCATCAGATGGGCCTGTCTGAGAAGCTTGGCCACCAAGCTGCTGTGTGACCCTGTAATTTGACCCCACCCCCAGCCCCAGCCCCCATCACCTCCTCAGTAGACGAGGAGTGCAGACCAGCTGCTCCAAAAGGCTCCTGGCAGCTCTTGCAGGCTTCGATTCCAGGAGCCCGGGCTAGCAGCAGCAGCTGTGGCGGGAGGAGGCCCAGCGACTTGCCTGTGGTCGGAGGGCACATCACTGGGCCGGCTGTCACAGCATCCTCACGCTCCGGCCAGGAGCCGAGCCCCAGCCCTGCCTCCCACCTCAGTGGCCGACCCACATCCTGGGCTCCGAGGGCGTAGAGACCCGGAGAGGGGAGCAGATGGCTCCCATGTGACCGGAGGGTGCTGAGTCGGGCAAGTGAGGAACAGATAAACTGAGGGCCTTGGTGCTGGGGGGAAGCAGGAGTCTCTCAAGCAATCAGTCAGCGACTGCTTCCTGCAGGATGGAAGCAGAGGGCCTGGGACATGGGAAGGAGAGCGCCCAAGGAGGCTGCAGCCTTGAGGGCACAGGCGAGGTGGGGAAGGGCCCAGGCCAAGCTGGGCTGGACTGGGTGGAGGGAGGTAGAGGACCCAGGAGGGACTTGACAGCAGGAGGCGTCTGAGAGGCAGAGCTTGAGAGGAGCAGCGTGGCACAGTGTCCTTCCCATCTCCCGTCTTTATCCTCAAGGCAAAACTGGGCCTACCTGGAGGCAGAAGCCAGCCCAGGCAGGGCAGCGGGGGCCCCAGAGCCTGCACAACTCCAGCAACAGGAGGCATCCAAGGTCGTGGTGAAATGATTCTAAACACAAACCGCCTGGACTCCAGGCCTGGCTCTGCCACGTGCTAATTTTGTGACCTTGGGCAAGGTCTTCCACCTCTCTGTGCCTGGTTTCCTCATCTGTAAAATGCAGCTGATAATAATACCTACCCATGGGGTTGTTGCCCGGATTAAATGAGTTGGAGATGTCGAGCATTTGGAAGCAGGGCTGGCACACAGCAGGGGCCACGTGAGCTCTTGCTACTGTTACTATTCCAAAGCACGTCCCAGGCGCTTCCCCCAGCAGCCCTCAGAGGTCGGCAAGTGTTATCACCCCCAACTTCTAGATGGGAAAACTGAGGTTTGGGAGGCTATAAGTCCTGGGTTGTCTGGAGGATTAGCACTTAAGCACGGTGCTAACCAGGCCCTACCCTGCTGAGTTTCCAAGACAAGATGAGACCAGGCTTGTCGTGGTAGAGAGGGCAGAGGGGCCTCCGACACCCACGTTCCCTGGGGTCTCCCACCCCAGCTCCAGGCAGGCAGGGAGAGCCTGGCACCTGTCTGCACTCTCACACCCAGTCCCCTCCCTGCCCTGGCCAGCACTGCCCTGCCCTCCCTCCCCTCCCCTGGAAACCTTCGCTCACTGGCTCCACCTTACCCCTAATCCTCCCCTTATCTCACCATCTTCCGTCTGAACAATCAGTAATTAGGATGCAGTTCTGAAGGTGCTGAGTGAGAGCCCTGGGTGGGTGTGCGCGGATGAGCTGCCACTGCCCAGGGAAGCCCTCATGGGCCCTCGCTGGCCAGCCAGGGCCCCCAGCCCCCGACTGGTCTACACCTGGCCCACTCACCGCCCTCCTGCTCTCCCAGGTACAAGCCCTGGAGCAGCGCAACCAGCTGCTGGAGACCCGCTGGAGCTTCCTGCAGGGCCAGGACACAGCCACCTTCGATCTCGGGCACCTGTACGAGGAGTACCAGGGCCGGCTGCAGGAGGAACTGCGTAAAGTGACCCAGGAGCGGGGGCAGCTGGAGGCCAACCTGCTGCAGGTGCTTGAGAAGGTTGAGGAGTTTCGAATCAGGTAGGTCTCGCCCTGTGGGGGAGGTGGGCAAGGACGGAGGGTGGGGACCAAGCTGTACCCAGGTGGGAGGCACCCAAGCTAGAGAAAGAGGAAAGAAGCTAGGGAACATTTCTTTGCCCAAGATACAGTTTTTGAGGGACTAGTGTGTGTCAGATGGTATTCTAAATAGTGGGATATGGCAGTGACCCTGCGGCTGCCCTCTCCCACATGGTGACCCTCACAATGAAGTCAGTCTGTGCTGGCTCCCAGCTAAACCCTGTGCTTGCTGGCCCCCGGGCACCGTCACAGCCCTCAACCCAGCTCTTGTGCCATGAGCACGCTTGTTCTTGTCCCCATGTAGCTCTGGCGATGGGGAATTATGTCCTTAGCTAGAACAACAGATGGGCTTCTGCTTTGGATGTGGCTTTGGATTTCGATCTCAATTGGCTTGGAAAAGAGAGCGCAGCAGCCGGGGCGCAGGCAGGGGATGGGAAGGGTGGGTTTATTTGAGTAAAGAAGCAATCCCCTACAGGCAATGCGTGCCAGGCATCGAGGTAGACTTGGAAGTAGGGAGAAGAGGAAAACACCACCCCAGCCTGCAAGCTACTTTCGCAACTTAGCGGGGCAGACAGACAAGCAGGCAAACAGCTGCTGGGCACAGCAGCCCAGGAGTTATGGGCCCAGGCTGGGGAACTGGACCAGGATGGGGTTTAATCCTTGCCCCCATCCCTCACTAGCTTTGTGACCTAAGGTAAGTTGCTTACTATCTGAACCTCAGTTTCCTCCCGTGTGAAATGGGAGTGATGATGGCCGATACCAACCTATGGCTGGTGTAAGGAGGAAGTCGCAGGAGCAGCATGGTGGCTGGCAGTTAGAAATGGCAGCTTTGCTATCTCCTAGAAGGCTGAAGATCTCAGCACACCGGGTCCTTGGTGCAGGTTTGCTGAACTGAAATGGCTCTAAGAGGGCAGACCAGGCACTTGGGCTGCTCAGAGGAGACGCGACCCTTTCTGACCAGGCAGTGGGCAGGGGTTCAGGGACAAGGAGGTTGAAGCAGAGCGGAGAGCCTGTGTCCCTGCACCCCCTCCTTGGGTCTGGTCCCCAAGGGGTTGCGAGGAGGCCTCAGCCAGGGAGAGGGGAGGACAGAGTGTGGCCAAGCCCCGGGTCTCCCCTCCTGCAGTGCTCTGCCCAGCCGCAAACCCTGCCAGTCTGAGGTGAGGCCCATAGTCCCTGGAGCAGCAAGCAGGGCAGGGCTGGAGGATGGGGGCAGCCTGTCCAGGAGTCCAGGGACAAGGGCTGTGTCTCAGCTTGCCCACGAGCTCTCCCCCGGCCCTGCCCTCCCACGTCCTAGGGAAACACAGCTGACTGCGCAGCCTGAGAGGCCCAGCTCCACAGCGCCTGGCCGTGATGGGGGGAGTCACGCCAGTTTGCCAGAACCTGTGACCCATTTCACTGATCCCGAGTAGGTCTCTGGCCCTCAAAGGATCAGAGGACGGCAGAGCTGGTGGGAGCCCTGGATCTTCCTTTTATGGAAGGAAACAAAGGCCCAGGGAGGGCAGGGCTCATCCTCAGTCACACAGCCTTGCACGCTAAGTCCCTTCCCTGACCCCAGCCGGCCACCAGGTAAGGCCACTCCCACAAACCCAGCCAGATCATGTCCACGGAGGCACTTTGTAACTGGAAGTTCTGTACAAATACTACTTGCTGTTTTCATCTGGCTCAGCCCCCTCACTTGGCCTGCTGCCCGGTTTCCATCCGCTGCTGTCTGACTACTGCTTAGGCTCAGGGCCTCTCTCCCGGTCTCTGGGTGGGGAGCCACCTAAGCTGGGGACCGACAGACTGGGCCTGCTGGTGAGGCTGGAAGGCTCCTTGGTCTGCAGGCAGAGCCAGGGAGCTGTAGCCTGTCTGTGCACAGCCTGGGGCCCCCAGGAGCCAGGAGACGCCAGGCCGAGCCCTGACAGGGAGAGGCTGTGCCCTGCCCCTACAGGGCGGATGAGATCAGCCCAGCTTACAGAATAAACAAGTTGGGGGGGGGGTACGGGTGTGACAAGCTAAAAAGGGCCTGAGAATGGGTTTGGGAGCTGGTGACTGGCAGACTGGCAGAGGATTGGGGGTGGAATAGGGGAGAAGGTATCACCTAAGCCTCTGTGGGGACAGAGACTTCCGAGGGCTTTGAGGTAGCAGAAACTCCAAGGATCAGCAGGTCTAACCCTTCCATTAACTAAGGATGGAGCAAAGGCCCAGCAAGGCGAAGCAACTTGCCCGAGGTCACACGACAACTGATTCAGGGATGCCACATACAGTTATGCAAGCTGTAGGCTGCACAAGAAGAGTATGTGGTGGATGGGTGAGTGGGGGCTGCAATCCAGTCGTGCATCAAGCCATGCAGGCTGGCACAAGGTTAAACACCTCCTGAGGATGGGGGCTTTTTTCTAATTCACACAAAGGCTGGGGATAGACTAGCAGTAGCCTTACGAGGACGGGCCCTTGGCTAGAACCCAGCTCTGGACTCAGCTCAGTGCTCCTGCTGTGCCACCAGCCTCTCCCTGGGAGCTCAGGCCTTGCTCCAACCCCACCCACCTCGCATACCTGGAGGTCCAGGGTCAAGGCAGATCCAGCCTAGACAGGACACTATGAGGATGCCACCTCTGGCCTCACACTACTAGTGTCCTCCTCTGTCAGGGGAGGTTTCCCAGAGCAGCTGCCAGGCCACTTGTCTCCCTCAACTCACCCTGCCTATGTCCCCCTGGACCCTGGCAGGTCTCTATCTGCTGAGTCTGCAAGTGACACCCTGGAAACACAGCTTCCCCCTGCCCTCCCCAGGCAAGGGCACATCTGAGGAGGTAGGAGGCTCTGACGCAGCTTAGTGCCCCCAGCCCAAGGCCTGAAGTTCCCCTCCTAAGTCTTTTCAGGAGACAGAACTAAAAATAAACCAGGGAGCAGGCCCCAAGCAACTAGAAATTACTCAGTGGGCCAAATGGAAAGCAGAGACGGGTGATGAGGGCATCTGATGAGGAGGGCAGAGGGCAGGCTGCCCCAACAACTACAGCAACTGCTGTTCCCAAGGTCCTGCCCCAGGCTGGCAGAACTCTGCTATCCAGAGGGGAGGCGAGAAGGGGGTCCTGACCATGGGGCTTGTATGGGGAGGACCTGTGGGGGAGGGGCTCCCCAGATCCCCGTTCCCAGGACAGGGAATTCCTCGGAGACCCCCACAGGCCAGTAGGAAGCCTGTTCAGGTTGGCCAAGCCCTGAGGATTTGGGAAGGATATGCAGAGAGTCCCCCATGCTCTGCAGCGAGGGGGCTTCTCTCTGAGAATATGGGAGGCCAAGGCCGAGGGCTGAGCCGCAGGGGTGCGGCACTCTGCTGGAAGCGCTTTATGTGTTGCCCTTTGTAATCCTCGTGACATCACTATTACGATGCATGAGGCACACACGGTAACTTACCCAAGGTCACACAGCTAGTTAGCAAGGAAGCCGGGGTTCGAGCCCAAGTAGTCTGGAGCCCCGTGCTGAACCAGCACGCCACAGGCACCTCCGAGCCTTTCTCTGATCCTCTGCTTCCTCATCTGTGAAATGGGACCAACAGGACTTTCCTCGCTGGGGTTCTGAGGGTCCCAGGAGAGGGTGCAGGTGAAGTGCCCAGCACAGGGGGAGGGGGTGGTCCACAGCACCTGTCACTCCCCCTCCAGTCAAGTCACTTCTGGTGCATTTTGTTCTCCCTGGCAGGCCCCAGGCAGCAGAGCAGTCTCCCTGGCCCACCCCTCTGCCCAGCCCATGAACTGTACCCTCAGAGCCCCTGGCAGACTTGGAAGCTAAGGCGGAAGCCAGGAGAGCATGTGACTTGGCACACTAGACCCAGAGACCCAGAGACCCAGAGACCCTGTGCCCTGCAGGCCCTGGCCGCCCTTGGGTCTACTTGCTGAGTGCAGGTGGGCAGGTGGAGAAGAGGGCTGAGGGCCAGGTCCAGCCAGCTGCTGTGGGCGGGAGTGACGCCACCCCTGCCAGGAGGTCAGGGACTGGGGCAGGCAGGCGGCTGTAATTAGAGCCGCCCCGGGATTCAGGCACCCCTGGAGAGGGGGGAAGAAAACAGAAGCCCGGCATCTCCACATCCGCTGGGGCAGGCGAGGGCTCAGGGGAGTCAGTCTGAGGCCGTGGGGCCAAGACAATCATCTTGCCCGGAAGAAGAGGGTCAGGTCAGGGATGCAAGGATCCTGTCCGCCCACCCAGCAATGTCCTTGTTCCCAACAGGTGGATCTGAGTAAGGAGGAGGCCAAACTGGGAAGAGAGTAGTAGCTGCGCTTTGTTGAGTACTGAGTGTACACCATATAACTATCTGTCATTGTGTCAGAGGTGGACTTGGTCAGCCCCCTACGCCTGTGCACACACACACCCGACACCCCCACACCCCTCATAGGTGAAGAAGCCAAGGAGGAGGAGTGAGGTCACTTGCCCAAAAACACACTGTGGGTCCATCTGATGGCAAAGTCCACGCTCTTCCACTCCTCCCTTTGGCAGGAACACGATGGGACAGTGTCCTGCCAGCCAGCAAAGCAGAGGGGAGGGGAGAAAGTGACATGAGAGCAGGATGTTCCCGTGGACTTGACCCAAGGCACCGCCTGATTGGACCTGAGATTCTCCGGGCGGGGGGTGGGGAAGAGATAAAGGGACAAAGTACTGCATGACAGGGGAGGCCTGGAAGGGGTGGGTGAGGCACAGCCAGGAAGAGGCAGAAGCTGCTGGGAGAGGACTGGGGGGTCATCAGGAGGGAGTGAGAAAACGGGGCCACCGCCAGGGGTCATGAGGCAGAGCGATGTGTCACGGAAGACATGAGATTGCATCCACCCGAACGATGGGCCACATTTTTCCAATTGGAATAGCAGAGGCCCTGAGCCCCATCCCAGGGGAGTTAACCAACCCCAAGCCCCCACCACAGCCAGCTGAGCAATATCTTTCCCTCCCCCACCCAGGTATGAAGACGAGATCTCCAAGCGCACAGACATGGAGTTCACCTTCGTCCAGCTCAAGAAGGTAGCCTTCCCGGGCTCCTCCTCGTGGGCCCTCGGCCCTCACTCCCTCGGGATCTCCTACTTTCCTTTATGCCCAAGCAAAGCTCTCAGAGGCTTAAGTCCCGGGACCAGTTGACAGAGGGATACACCTGTCCCCATCCAGCTCCTTTGCCCAGGCTCTGAGCCAAGTCTCCCCTGGGAGACCTCACCCCACTCCCGCCCTGGGACCCCAACATTCCCTCCCATCACTCACCACTGCTCCCAACCCCAGGACCTGGATGCAGAATGCCTTCGTCGGACCGAATTGGAAACCAAGTTAAAAGGCCTTCAGAGCTTCGTGGAGCTCATGAAAACCATCTATGAGCAGGTGAGCGGGATGGGGCCGGTGTCCTGAGGGCCAAGAGCTGGCTGGTCCACAGTGAAGGACCAGAGAGGCAAGGGCATCCAGGGACCTGGCACCTGCAACAGTCACTGATCGTTGCCTAAATCCCTCCCCGTGCTGATGTCAACAACCCCACGTGCCCCCCGGCCGCTCATTCCACGGGGCGTGGGTAGGTTCCCAAGAGGCCCCTCTCTCGGGGCGAGCCGTGTCTTCATGTGTGGTGCTGGAGTGCTGAGGCGTGCAGGGCACCAGGTGCCTCAGAGGCAGGGAGCCCAGGGGCCTCGAACAAATGTTCTGGTTGAATTGATCTCTCTAAACCCTGCAGCTTAAACCGCAGGCACCCCCAGTTCTAGCTCTGATACGCATGCGTCTCACCCTTCCGCATCTTTGGCTAAGGCAGGGAAGATCTGTAGTCACATTCTCTGGTTCCCACACAATTCTAGCTTCTGCCAGAAGAAAAATGATCCAGTAAATGCAGACAGAGGAGGCTCTGGAACACACCCTCCTTTGTCTCCTCTGCTGAGCCCACGTGGACAATGGCCCAGCAAAGCCTAGCTTGCTGCCGACGTGGTCATCAGAGGGCCTGCTGCTGGTTCCCGGGCTCTGCTCCTCCACTGCGACTGCTGCCTCCTGGACGCCCATCCTCCTTTCCGCGTCCCCTCTTTCAGGGGTGAGGAGGTATAGGGGTGATGCTCCTGGGCTAAAGGCTCCTCCACAAATGCCTTTGGTCCAGCTAGGAGCAGGCAAGACCACTGCTGGGGGGACAGGGTTTGGCAGCCCGTGTGCTGCACACTGCTGGCGCCAAGCTATAGCAGTGCAGCCAAGGTCCGAGCAGAGATCAAAGCCACCACCCTGATTTTAAAACTCTGGTAAAACCCTACGGGCTTCTGACCACAGCTTCATGGCTGCATCCTATGGAAAGGGAGATTGGCCTTGTGGCTGCTTGTGGGCCCCACTCCTTTCCAGCAGTCCCAGCCCCAAGCTGGGGCCTCCGTGGGACTGAGACCTGTCTGTGGGCACAGGATATAGCATAGCAGAGAGAACACCCCAACCCTCGGGACAGCAGGAAAGCAGAGCTCTCAGGCAGGCCACACACCCCAGCTGCCCTGAAAAGCTTCCTGTCCCCAGCAAAGCCCTCCACAGCCAGGCCAAGCCCCGTGGGGCTGACCACGCACCACGCCCACTGGCTGGCTTGGGAAGTGGGTGAGCAGCCCCCGTGCCCAAGTTCACTGTGGGCTGGTGCAGCCCAGGCAGACACCAGCAAGGCCAGTGTTCCCGAGTCTGTTCCACCTGTTCACTGACAACTGAGCAAGCTCAGAGCTCAAGCTCTAAGCCAGGATGCAGGACCTGCAGCTATGGAGACATAACTGGAAGAAGGCTGGGTATATCTGGGCATTGCCAGAGGCACACCCACAAACCTTCTTGGCCCCTGCCCCAGTAGCCAGGCCTGTGGACTCTCTGCACTTTGCAGTCCTTGGGCTCCAATCCTGATTCCGCCTTTTTTTTTTTTTTAACCATTTCTGTGACTTTGGACAAGTTATTTCTCCTTTCTGTGCCTCAATTGCCTCATCTGTAAAATGGGGAGCATAATAGTACCAGCCTGGTAAGGTAGTGATGAGGACTAAATCCATTCATGCATTTAACAAATGTTTATTGCACGCCAGGCACTGATATCACAGCCTGAGCAAGACAAGCAAAGTCCCTCCTTGCAAGGAGGGTACAACTTAGCTAAGAGGAGGCAGGTAATAGGCAAGTGAACAAATATCTGGACAAGGTTGCTTTGCAGGGCGATGAGTGCTGGAGTGCAGAGAACCCGGGCGATGCGCTCATGCTGGAGGGAGGGGAGAGTCTCAAAGTCTGTGTGCAGAGGGCCTCTCAGAGGATGTGAAAGTGGGTCGAGACCCCAGGATGGGAAAGATGCAGCCCGGTGGAGATTTGAGCTGGCAGCGGGCAGAGGGAAGAGCTGTGCAAAGCCCCTAAGGCAAGAGAGAGCGTGGCAATTGAAGGGAAGGAAAGAAAGCGCTGTGCTCAGGGCAGGCGGGGCTGGGCCTTGGGCCCCGAGACAGACTTTGGACCTTGCTCTGAGTGTGCTGCATAGCCTCTGGTGGGTGCTGGGGAGGGATGGTGTGCAGGGGTTTCTGGGTGTGGGTGTGTATCTGTTATAAGACTGCTGTGAGAAGGGACCGCAGTGACAGTGGTAGACGCTAGCGCACCATGGCATTGATTGTTGCTTTGGAAGCAGTGGTGACTCAGCGTTGGAATTTCTTTTGAGGTTTGTATTTCTCCCCATGCACCACTGCAGGCTGAGAAGGCAACACTGACTTTTGGCCAAAAAGAGTCCCCACATCATTGTTCTCTAGTTAGCACCATCAAATAGAAATATAATGCAAGCCACATATGTAATTTTAAGTTTTCTATTGCCATATTTTTAAAAAGAAACAGAAAATTAATTTTAATAATGTATTTTATTTGGCCCAATATATCCAAAATATGATTATTTCAACATCTACCCCAGTGGACAGAGCAGGTCTAAGCAAAGGACATGGCTGCCTCAGGTGGAAGAAAAGTGTGTTGGGACTCCAGTAGCCCTAGGAGAGCTGGACACTCTAGTTTCAGTTTTGGAGCACACACCGAGTCAGAAATATAGGCCCACTCCTGTGTCCCAGAAAACATCCCTTCCTCCCCTCCAAAACACATGCACACGCGTGTGCACATACACACAGCCAGCCAAGCAGGAGCCCATCGCCATGATCTGCTCAGGCCTTGTCCACACACTGCAGCCTCAGCCACCTCTCTGCCCCTCCCCTCCAGGAACACAGGCTGGTGAGAAGACCCTGGGCTGCCAGGGCCCCCCTCAGCCTCTTTGTCTAGCCCCCAAGTGCATTTGGGGCCTGGATACCTCCAGCTAGAATGCCACTGCGCCAGCCATAAACTCTGGTTCCAGAGCTGGGATCTGCTGACAACCCCCTGCTGCCAGGCACACCTGGGAGGCTGATTCCTGCAGAAAGAAGCCAATGCTATCTGAACAGCTTTGGCAGGGAGGCTGCTCCAGGAATGGGCTACTCTGTCCCTGGACACTTCATCCTGGCTTCATCACCTTTACTAAATACAATAGAGTATCCCCAACCATTGTTTGTTGAGCACCTAATACATCCCAGGCACCGTGCTAAGTGCTTTCCAGATTCAATCTCAGTTAATTCTCACAGCAGCCCTATGAAGCAGGGATAATGGTTAAGGGAGCACAGACTTTAGAGCAGCTTGGATTTGAATACTGGCCAGTAATTGTGTGCACTGGAGCAGGTTATTTTCTCTCTGCTTCAATTTCTCCATCTGTAAAACGGGGAGAATAACAGCACCTAGTTCACTGAGCTGTTGTGATGATTTATTTTGTTAACATATCCTAAGGCACTTAGAACAGTGTCTGGCACATGGTAAGCATTTAATAAACATTAGCTGTTTTCAGTTCTGTCATTAGACCCATTTTACAGGTGAGAAAACCAAGGCCCAGAGATATTTAAAAACTTGACCAGGATAGCCCAACTCATAAGAGGTGATGGTACTCAGGGTCCAGTGCCATCGACACATTTTATTAATTAGCACTGAGTTACCTCGTGAGAGTCACCATCTATCCTGCCTTGGGGAACACAATGAGCGTGGTCACACACGCAGCAGCCTCATGCTCTGGCTCCCAGGGGAAGCCCTAAACTGTACTTCAGCTTACTTCTGACCAACCTTGAGATGCACACGCTCTCCAGGGCCCATCCCACGGTGGCACGTCCACAGCACACATGCAAGCACTGTTATACCCCCTGCAGCCCGGCAGGGGCCAGCACGTCTGAGCAGGTCTGCGGATCTTCTGAACACTCCACTTCCTGCTTCTGTTACCAAGCTCCTGCTTACCCTGCCTCTCTCCAGAAAGGGTCTGAGGCTTCTCCTACCCCACCCCCTGCCTGGCCCCCTCCCGGCCAGTTGACCCACCTTCTGGCTTTCTGGGCACAGTGCTGGCAGCCGATGCTTTGACTACCGCCCTGGCTCCTTCTTCCCACACCGAGGCCCACCCTTGTTCAACACCTCCAGGGGAAGCAGCCCAGGGCCCAAGAGGCACCATCTGCAGCCCCTCATGAAGATCCCTGTTCCCACCTGCCTCCCTTCACACCCCTGACCATTCTGCCAGAAGCTGCCAGGCTGTGGGCACGATAGGAAGCCTGTCTGGGGCTAGGAAGATGACAGAGAAAGCTCCAGCTCCTTGCCCCCACCCCTCTGAGGGAGCTTTGCAGCAGCAGCAGAGAGCAAGAGCTCTGGGGTCCAGCTCTGCCACTCACAGCTGTTTCCCTAACGCTCGGTTTCCTCCTCTGTGGCTAATGTGGGGCTAACAACAGTGCCGGCCTGGTGAGGATGAAATGTGGGGATGTGCACAGAGCACTCAGCACAGTCTGGCCGGAGTGAGCCCTTGGGGAAGCGGTGGCTTTACCATTTTCCAGAGGTCTGGGATAGGGAGGAGAAGGGGAAAGTATTGTCACTGTTGCAAGCTGCCTCAGCTAGAGTGGGGGTGGGCGGTGAGCCTCCAGGGCCACTCTGAAGTCACGGCGCCAAGGCCGTGCCAGGCCTCTCGCAGGCGGTCCCACTTTAGCGAGGCCAGCAGTGGGGAGTGCAGTGTTGCCAGCCTCTGGCCCACCCCGCCCTGCGCCCCCGTCATTCACTGGCTTCCATTCCAACATTCATTCAGTGAACTGAGACACTCCCTTGCCAGATGCTGGGGCCCGAGATGCACACGGCTCTGCCAGGCCCCCGGGCAGCTCCCGTCCAGTGGCGGAGACAGAGCTGCACGCACAGAGCCGTGGTGGTAAAACAGTGACCCAAGGGTCCTGGCTCCCGGCTCCGGGGCATGACTTCTGAGGCCTTTTCTCCATCAGCCAGGAGGAAGCTGTCCCACCCTGGGAGTGAGTCCCTGTGCCCTTCCCACCAGCACAGACGGTGGGGAAAGTGGAGGGTGATAGGGTTTGTGGGGTGGGCCTCTGGGGCCAAGGGTCCCCCCTGCCCTCCTCCCCTCCCACGCCCTCCCCAGAGAGGGAGGGCCACGGTGGGTGGGCAGGAGGCAGGGAGCTGCCTCCCAAGAATCCAAGCTGGGAGACATGGCAGGGAGGCCCTAGTCCTTTGCTCATCTCTCCAAAGAGACAGGATGGGAGTAGCCCCGCTCTCCTTTCACCCTGGGTCTCCGTACCCTCCCCACCGGCCCTGAGTCCCCCACGTCTGTGCCCGGCCAGGAGCTGAAGGACCTGGCAGCCCAAGCGAAGGATGTGTCGGTGACCGTTGGCATGGACAGCCGCTGCCGCGTTGACCTGAGCGGCATCGTGGAGGAGGTGAAGGCCCAGTATGACGCGATCGCAGCCCGCAGCCTGGAAGAGGCCGAGGCGTACTCACGGAGCCAGGTATGGGGCTCAGCACGCAGGCTGGAGAAGCAGCCTGGACAGCTGTCTCTGGGCCGCAGGCAGGGCTGGACAAGCGATGGCTGAGGTCGCTTGCAGCTCTGTGTCCTGAGATTCTATGAGTGGGGAGTGGGGAAGCACAGAGGTGGGGAGACCACAGCAGTCAGGTCACAGGTATGGAGAAGGTGGGAGCCCAGCAATGTGCCAGGCTCTGAGGGGTAGCCGGGAGGGAAGCCCCCAGTCTGTGCCCTCCAGAGCTCACAGTGGTGCTGTCACCCAGCAAGGCCAGGCAGACGTGGGCACAGCCCGTGGGGCTCATCTGGGCAGCCAGGAGGAGGCCACCCAGAGAGGGGCGTGGTGGGGGCAGAGGAGGGAACTTGGCATGGGGGAAGGTGAGAGAAGAAGGAGGGCAAGAGGCTAGGGGTGCTGGGAGGGACACCGTGCGCTGCCCCTCACTGCAACCTCCACACCCCTCCAGCTGGAGGAGCAGGCCGCCCGCTCGGCGGAGCTTGGGAGCAGCCTGCAGAGCAGCCGCAGCGAGATCACTGACCTCAATGTGCGCATCCAGAAGCTCCGGTCCCAGATCCTCTCCATCAAGAGCCACGTGAGTGTTTGGAGGACCTAGCCGGGGGCAAGGGCAGGAAGACACACACTCTCACGCACACTGAGGACAACAACGACCTGACTGAGTGGCCCTGAGCGGGTCACTTAGCACCTCTGCTAACACCTGGCTTTGGTGCACCTGACCCTGGAGACCTCTAGCCCCACCCCTGCCATGAAACCCTGGGCCCACTTCCCACAAATCCCTCTTCTCAGTTTCCTAACCTGTCAAAGGGACAGTAGCATAGCCTCCTAAGGTAGTTACGAGGATCACACGAGCTTTGCACATAAGAGTGTTCTGTAAATGGGCTGGGGCTGCCGGGATGTCAGGAGGCCCCACCACCATGCACACCCAGAGCCCACTGCCTCCCTCCCAGAACCCCGCCAACCATACAGAGAAGGGAGTGCAGGCTGAAGTCCCAGCTTCCAGTCAGGACAAACCTTCAGAGCAAGTGCCACCCTGTAAGGACAGCTGGGATAGGCTCCTTTAGTGGCTTGTGGTACTTCCCTCTGGACTTAGGCAAATGTCTCTCTAGGTCTAACTGAACTCCCTCTTGCTGCATTGCAACGCATTAGCACACCCAGCAATGCACCCAGCAATGCCATCGCTCAGCCCTCCCTCCCCATGCGCCCCCAGCAAGGACAGAGGTGACTCCTGGCCCTGGCCACTTTCTCCCTCTCTCACCCCATTGCTGACCCTTTCCTCCGTCCTGCTGACTGCAGTGCCTGAAGCTGGAGGAGAGCATCAGGGCAGCGGAGGAGCAGGGGGAGCTGGCCTTCCAGGACGCCAAAGCCAAGCTGGCCCAGCTGGAGGCCGCCCTGCAGCAGGCCAAGCAGGACATGGCGCAGCAGCTGCGCAAGTACCAGGAGCTCATGAACACCAAGCTGGCCCTGGACATCGAGATCGCCACCTACAGCAAGCTGGTGGAGGGCGAGGAGAGCCGGTGAGGGGCGGGGCCGGCAGGTGGGGCTGGAGGAGAGGGTGGGCAGGAGGCGCAGGCCACTCAGAGTCAGCCTTCCCTTCCCCATGACTCAGTGCCGGGGCTGGGAGTGACAACCGAGAATTGCCCTCCCCTTGCGAACCCCCAGGCTCCCAATCCCAGGGGAGCTTAAGCCACGGGCTCCGTTTACATCCCACCATATTCCTCCCCCACCTCACACCCCAGGATGGACCTGCCCTCGGCCACCGTGGTCAGCGCCGTGCAGTCCCGGTCCAGAACCGGTAAGTCCTCTTGCCCTGAGAACCCACGGTGGGGAGGGCGAGGGGGTGTAGGGGGATCATGACCCTAAAGGCATCATTTTAAGTGGCTCCCAAACCTCCAGCCCCTTCCCTCCCCCACCCCTCATGTCCCCTGTAGCTGCCTCCAGGTCAGGCCTCTCCAAGGCCCCCTCCCGGAAGAAGAAGAACAGCAAAGGTCCTGTGATCAAAATCACCGAAATGTCGGAGAAGTACTTTTCCCAGGAGTCGGAGGTCTCAGAGTAAGGCAGCTGGACCCACGGAACCCCAGGGCACTCCCACTGCAGCAGGAGAGTCTTAAGCTAGACTCAAGAAAGCAGCCTGGAGCCTCTAGGTTGGGAGGGGAGGCAAAACCTGATACTGAACTGAGAGGAGGAGTGAAAACCGCGACTGCTGTCTGGCGAGCTGCAGGGTGGGAAAGGAGCGCCGCCAGCTGTTCAGAGCCCTCCACTCCGCCTCAGTGTCTCAGTCTTATCCTTCCAACCTTCTAGCCAGAGGTGGTCCTGACCAGCTAAACTGGAATGGGGTGGGTTTTGTCTCTACCTCCTCTTTCCTTGGAGACTCTTCCTCCAACGTGGGCTCTGACCAAGGCCCCTTTGAGTCTTTTGCCCAAGGCTTGCCCTAAACTCCTATCTCAAGCCTTGCCTGGCCTCTGCCTTGGAACTGAGGCTGGTGCCCTGGCTCACGCAGCCAGCGTGGGTCCCATCCTGTACCTGGAGTTCCCGGGGAGGCTGGGTGCTAAAGACCCCCTGGCTTTCCTGCACCTCCTGGGCTCCGCAGAGACCTCACAGTATTATGGAGCGTGGGGACTGAGGGGAGGAAGGTCCCTGGGTGTTTAGGACCTGAGCCTGGACCTCTGAGGTCAGCCCGAACACCTGCTCCCCTCCCTCCTCCCCCGGGTCCCTCCCAGTGCACCACGGCTAGACTTGGACAGGCCACCCCAGCCAGCTCCCAGCCCTTCTCCAGAAGCAATTCTTGCCACAGTCGGCTCTCTGGGAGTGGAGGCCAGATGCCCCCTGAGACCAGACAGGAGAATTAGACCACCCCTTCCCCTGCCTGCCATTCTGGGATCACCCCCGAGCCTGGGATCTGAGCTCTCCGTCCCAAGCCCAGGTGCTTCCCAGCCTGAACACCTGGCTTTGGTCCACCTGACCCTGGACACCTCTAGCCCCAGCCCTGCCATGAAACCCTGGGCCCACTTCCCACAAATCCCTCTTCTCAGGGCCTCTGCTCTCCTCTCCACGGGACCAGCCAGCCTGGCCCTCCCCGCCTTTGCATGCACTGAGGAGCCCAGGGACTCACCCAACCTGAGGGGTCATAGCTCCTTCCCCTCCTGCCCTGTCCTCCCTCCGAGCCCACTCTCCCTGCCTCCGACAGGCCATGAAGAAGGCACAGTCCAGGCAGGTCTGGGAGTTTCTGAGCCCTCGAGGTCAGGCTGTGGAGCCCCCATGACAGCCTTAAAAGGGCTCAACCAAAGAGAAAGCATCTGGGGTTGGTAGGAGTGCTATGTCCTCCTCTTGGCTCCCCACTTTGGAGCTTGCAGGGGGATCCTAGCAGCTCCAGCCTTTCATCCCATGAGCTACCTTCCTTCCTTCCCTCCTTCCTTCCTTCCCTCCTTCCTTCCTTCCCTCCTTCCCTCCTTCTCTCCTTCCCCTCCACCACCGCCATCTCCTCTTGGAGCCTGCCTGGCTCTTTATTGGTTTCCAAGGGAGCAAATCCTCAGCAGAGATACAAGTTATATGGAGTATATATTATTTTTTTCATAACTTATGTGGCTTTTAACTTATTGCTTCCCTTCCTGTTTCTGCATAATCAGTGCTGTATGTATTATCTGATAGATGACACATGTTCCAGCCACCCCACCTGACCGGCTATCTCAGGGCAATGCCCCCTGCTCCCTGCCAAGGGATGAATAAAGTGTCGAAATTTGTCCTTGGATAAAGCCCTGTGTCTGTTTTTATCTCCCTCTCAGAGTTGGTCAGTCACTGGTCAATTGGGTTGACCCTGGGATATTAGGAATTCTCCAATTATAGGGAAAGGGGTGCAGGGACCTCGTTATACCTTCAGACCAATGCAGCTCGGACGTGAAAAGGTCTCCTGCCACCATCCCACCAGGAGACTGCACCAACACTGACCTATGTCCCCAGCACCACCTGCCGCGGCCGGGTGCCACGTGGGCCAAGCACCAGCGCATACACGGGGGATTCCCCAAGTGCTGGCAGGGCTTCTTCTCAAGCACTGCTGTCCCACTTGGAGCTGGCACAACCCAGAATATATTCCCATGGGTACAGGCCTAGTCCTGCCAAATCAAACTCCAGATCAACAAATAGGGATGGAGGATCTTTTCCAAGCCCAGCCCCGTGTTAGAACACCGAGATGGCTGTGTGCCTCTCCACCACAAGAAGCTCCCAGTGGGGTTGGGAGATAAGATAGCGAGTGAAGATATCCACCCTGGATTTTCCTGCCAAGTGCAGAAGTGGGTGCTATTGATTGAAGGTCAGAGCAGAGAAGGGCGTGTGGAGGAAGAGGGGCCGTAAGTGGGCACGGAGGGGCTTACTTGGGAAGCAGATTGAAGGAAGAACAGGTGTCTCAAGGAAGGGAAGTTGGTGGGGGGAGAAGGAAGTTTGAAGCATTTGTGTCCTGGCCCACCCACTCGCCAGCCATGAGACCTCAGGTAAATGGAGCCTCAGTTTCCTCATCTGTAAAATGGAGCCCTTTCCCACTTCCCTCACGGGGTGTTTGGGGATCCAATGAGACAGCTGCGTCCGCTCCTGTTGGGAATGCCGCATCTCTTGCTTCCAGCGCTCTGAACTGCAATAGCTCAAAAATGTAAAGGATTATTAGTAATAGTGTTATTGTTGCTACATATGTTAAGGATTAAAGACAACCAACTAGTAGGGTGACTCAAATACAAGCAAATAGACCTCGTGCTGGCTCACTCAGCACAGCACAGCCAGGCCCCGGGCTGAAGTTCAAAGACTCAGGTTTACTCATTCTCCTGGGGACCCTGAGGAACGGGCTCTGCTCTCAAAACTCAGGAAAGACTGACAGGTAGACCGCATACCCACCTGAGAGAGGCCTAGAGCCGAAACCTGCGCTCTCATTGTGCCTTTGTTTTCTGTTTTATTAATTTCTGAATAGGAATGTGAACTTCTGAATCTGAATATGAATTTCACAGTCAGGAATTATATGACATATTTGTTATTTCCTTCTACTTTCTTTGAGTTTATTATTTTTATAGTTTTCCAATTTCTTGAGTTAAATGCTTTAATTTTTCATCTTCCTTTTCAAAATAAGATTCTTTGAAGATCACAAATTTCCCTCTAAGTACCATTTGACTGCTTCCTGTCATTTTCATTTGTAGCATTTTTATTATCATGTAGTTAAAATGATTTTATTCTTTGACTTATAAGTTATTTAGAAATTTATGACCCAGAGGATGTTGGTACTTTAAGATGGGAGTCTGCCAACCTCCTCATCTGCTGGCAAATTAATAAACTCTTGCCTTCTCCTCAAAAAAAAAAAAAAAAAGAAAGAAATTTATGACCCACATATGGGTCATTCATATCCACAAACATTTATTGGACATATCCTTAGCTGGCCCTGCTCTGGATGCTTAGGGGGACATTAAATTCATGGAGCCTCAATTTCCTCATCTGTAAAATGGAGCAAAGCCTTTCTCCACTTCCCTCACAGGGCGTTTGGGGATCCGATGAGACAGCTGTGTTCTCTCCCGCCAGGAATGCCACATCTCTTGCTGGCATTTATCTCTGTATCCTTGACTCCCTACTCCTCTACTTAAGCAGTGCTTCAGTTGTGCCTTTTATCCCCAGAAGACTCTAAACTGCTCGAGGGCAGGGATCATGCCCCAGTGCGTCCCCAGTGCCTTGCATAGTGCCTGGCACATAGTAGGTGTTCAAAAAATATAAAATGAATGAAAGAATGAAGGAATGCTGCCCCTCCCCAGACAAGGTCTCCACGCCTAAAAGTCCCATGAAGGTGAGGGCATATCTTGACCTGTGGGTCCCCAGCAGCAATGCAGTGCCTGGTGCATTGCAGGAGCACAGTGAGCATGTGCAGAATGAATGAATGAATGGGAGAGAGTGATGGTTTCCTACCCAAACAAGGGAACTCCCTGCCTGTTTCAGGCTGGCAGATCCTAAACAGTTCTCTAAAAGGTGCAGAGTCCGATCCCCCTCCCTGTACAGAGCTCCCTCCTCCCTCCTCCCACTCCTGCCCTCCTGAGTGGTTCAGTGAACACCTGGCCAAGAGCGCCAGCCTTCCTCTGGCTACAACAACAAAAATAAGCCCTACCTGGCTTTGGCTCTTTTCTCATTAGCTGAGGCCCAGAGAGGCCAACTCTGGTCACCCAGCAGGTGAAAAGAAGCCTTTTGGTTGCCTGGAACCATTTTTCCCTTGCAGACTCTCTGCCACAGGGACAGAAGAATTTACCAAACCCAAGAGTTGGTGAGGTAGAGACTAAAACACAAAGGGTAGGTGGGGCTCAACAGGGACCCACGAGCTGGTGCCCAGACCAAATTCCTAGGCTCCTGCTGGAATATCAAAGCTCAGAGGCTGTGTGCCAGGACAGCGAGCCGGTGCCCTGGTGGCTCTGGAGAAACCGTGCTCCAAGGGGACCCCGGGGCCAGAGCCCGAGGCGGGCCCTGTGCACTGAGGGTTGGCTGCACAACCTCTCCTCCAGCCCCTTCCCCTGATCTGTTCAGGCCTGAGGGAAATAGCTAAGGGGAGGCCTTGTCCTCATGTGGAGGGAGCTCCAGGGGCTAAGGAGGGCGACCCACACAGAAACAGACACGGGACCAGAGCTCGAAACCTCAGCACTGGGCTGGCAAAGCAGCTGGGGAAGTTAGTCAAAGAGGGCTTCCTGGAGGAGGGGAGGAGGCTGCTTGGAAGGAGGGGGTGTCAGGGTAGCAAGAACGAAGGGAGTGGCAATGGCCTGAGCGAGGAAAGTGGAACAGATTTGCTCCGCCTCCAGCCTGGGGCTCTGGGTAACCAGACAGGGGCAGGGGAAGCCTGCGTTGAGGATGAGGAGAACTGTGGGAACACATGTTGTAATGCGGGTGACCCCTGAAGCCCCCACCAGGATGTCAGCCAACAAGTGCAGGGACTTACACTGCTGTGTACCCCGGTGTCCAGCAGAGAGCCAGGCACGCAGTCAGCACACAGTAAACACTGAATCAATGAACGAAGGCTGAAACGGCAGGTGACTGAGGCTGCTGAGGATGAAGATGAACCTGTTAGGCAGATAGCGAGGGATCCCGGGTCTCCTAGGGACGAAAGTGGGTGCTGTTGCCTTGGTGCAATTGCCCCACCTGGGAAGAAGGACAAGGCCCCCAGGCCCCCATCTTGGTCCCGCTTGACTCTCCCGAGTGACTGCCATACCTAGGGGAGGAGGGAATACCATACAAATCTGCCAGTAATAACTCAGCGCACCAGCTGCAAAAGAATGCAGAGGCCTCTCTAGCCCACGGGCCAAGCTGCATAGGTACCACAGAGTCCAGATGTGACCTGGAACCCCGAGGTGTAGTAAGACTCAGGTCATGCAACTCCCAGCTGGCAGTCAAAGTGGTTCCATGGTGACCTCTAACCCACGAGGGAGGTCCCAATCCGGGCACTACAAAACACGACGCAGACCATAACCAGGTCCTTTTGCGCCCTTCCTTTTGCTCTCCCTTTGCTGCGACAATGGGTCCAGTCGTCATCTGGCATATGTATCCTACTCTGTAAGCCTATATCTTGCTCTTGCTCTATAATCCTATCTTTCTCTCCTCAATAAACCTCATTTTCGTGCTTGCCTTACTTTGTTGTGTCTGGTCATTCTTCAGCCATGTGAACGCTAAGAACCGACATTTCAGACTGAAATCTGACAAACCCATCATCGAGGATGTTTTGAGCACCTACTACGGGCTGCGCCCTAGGGTGGGCACAGTGAGGTGGAAGGAGGGAAAAAAGGGTAAAATGGGTCCTTACCCTCAAGGGACTCTAGCTTGACGCAGGGCGGCCAGGATCTGGCTCACGGCCCCCCGTGTGCCTGAGTCCCTGTGTTATGGTCAGCCCTGTGCTCTCCGTGGGACCTTAAGCAAGTCATGTCCCTCTCTGCAGTTTTCTTCATCTGTAAAATAAAGGCATTAGGCTGAGTGATCTCCTGATTCCTTCTATGCCAGTGCCATGAAATCCTATTCATCCCTCCCTACTCACCTCAGTTCCTTGGGCAACACCCACCCCTGCCCGAGGAGGTAGCAGTAGCACTAATTTAGACTCCAGTGTGCAGGGCAAATCCTGGTTCTAGCCGTGTGGTTTTGGGCAACGTCCAAGAGAGAAACAGTGTCTGCTTCATAGATTTGTTGGGAAGCTTTAAAGAAATGATGCATGATAAAAGAATTTAGCACAGTGCCTGGCACACAGTAAGTGCTTAATAACAACAACAGCAGACACATTAACTTCTGAGAGTCTTTCCCCTTATCCTGAGACAAGTCGGAATCTGCCTGGTCCAGGTGGCCTGACTGGGAGTGTTAGGCAAGTGTCCCCACGATCTACCCAGGGCCAACTACCCTCCAGCCCCCAGGAGAGGCCAGTGCTCAGAGATCTGTTTGGG